GAAGAGGTCATTGTCACATAGGATCGAGACACCTGAAATCCCTTGAGTAAGTTTTACAAGATGTATGCAAGATACCTAACTGACAGCTATGAAAGACAACGACAGAAACCGAAGATGAAAGTAGGAGTGTGGAATACCACACCAGTAGAAATTTCAGTGGACTTCTGGGGAAATTGCCAGGCTAATTCTAAAATTTCTATAAAAATGCACATCTCGAAGAAGAGTATGAAATTGTAGGATTTATACAACCCGATTTTTTAACTTAATATAAAGCTACAGTAAGTAAGGAGAGGGTATAAGGAGAGTCACCTAGCCTCTCTACATATGGTCAACAGATTTACAACAAAGACAATGGTGGAAATCCAACAGGGGATGGGAAATCTCTCTGACAAGTGTTACCAGGACAACTGGGGACCCAGGTGGGAAGGAAATGGACAAAATACACCCTAACGCTACCTCACTACTTCTGATACCTCACTTGAGATGAACCATTGCAAGTGCAAGCCTGGGAACTTGCTCACTGTCCCCCTGAGTGTCTCTGTCCCCTCCCAGGGCCAGTCACTCACCACCTCCTTTTGGGTCCTGTCTGGCACCCATCCTCAGCTGTGAGGCCACTGATCCTGTCCTTTCCTGATCACATCTTGCCCCTCTGCAAATTTGTCCCCACCCCATTCTCTTTTTTTTAATTTTGAAAATTTTATTCATATGTACATACAATGTTTGGGTCATTTCTCCCCCCTTCTCCCCGCCCCCTCCCTTACCCTCCCACTCCCTCCCTAGCCCCCCCAACCCCTCACTACCAGGCAGAAACTATTTTGCCCTTATCTCTAGTTTTGTTGAAGAGATCACATAAACAATAATAGGAAGGAACAAGGGTTTTTGCTGGTTGAGATAAAGATAGCTATACAGGGAGTTGACTCACATTGATTTCCTGTGCGTGTGTGTTACCTTCTAGATTAATTCTTTTTGATCTAACCTTTTCTCTAGTTCCTGGTTCTCTTCTCCTATTGGCTTCAGTTGCTTTAAAGTATCTGCTTTAGTTTCTCTGTGTTAAGGGCAACAAATGCTAGCTAATTTTTTAGGTGTCTTACCTATCCTCACCCCTCCCTTGTGTGCCCTCGCTTTTATCATGTGCTCAAAGTCCAATCCCCTTGTTGTGTTTGCCCTTGATCTAAGGTCCGCATATGAGGGAGAACATATGATTTTTGGTCTTTTGGGCCAGGCTAACCTCACTCAGAATGATGTTCTCCAATTCCATCCATTTACCAGAGAGATAACATTTCGTTCTTCTTCATGGCTGCATAAAATTCCATTGTGTATAGATACCACATTTTCTTAATCCACTCGTCAGTGCTGGGGCATCTTGGCTGTTTCCATAACTTGGCTATTGTGAATAGTGCTGCAATAAACATGGGTGTGCAGGTGCCTCTGGAGTAACCTGTGTCACAGTCTTTTGGGTCTATCCCCAAGAGTGGTATTGCTGGATCAAATGGTAGATCGATGTCCAGCTTTTTAAGTAGCCTCCAAATTTTTTTCCAGAGTGGTTGTACTAGTCTACATTCCCACCAACAGTGTAAGAGGGTTCCTTTTTCCCCACATCCTCGCCAACACCTGTTGTTAGTCCCACCCTACTCTCTGATCCTCCCCTGCAACCTTCTTCACACTGTCCCTTTGGGGACAGCACCATCTAATCCTGAACTACTATAGCAGCTTCCTGTGTGTCCCCTAATGAAGCTGGCCCCCACTGGCCTGTCCCCACTCTGTCATTAATTTAGTGTTTTTAATACAGGTGGATTTTATCTCTTTCTTGCTCACAATCCATTCACAAACATTCAGGAGTGACAGGGTTTGGCATTGCATCATTTGTCTCTGATACCTCAGTTTCCTTTCTGTGCTCTTGGTTTGGGATCCCTCCTTCCTCATGGTGCTGTCGCACCCTCTGTCCTCTGCTTCTTCTGTTTCCCAGCAAGAGTCCAACTTTTTAAGCCAGGCTTTGGAGACTAACCAGTTGCCCTAGTGACAGCATCCTTTTCTCCTGCCCCATGTGCCTCAGTAAGGTTGGTGGGGGGAGTGCCATGTCCTCTAGGAAGTCCCCTGATTTCTTAGTGGGTCCTATGACCCTCTTCTGAGCCCCTACCCTGGACACTAAGGCATCTGGTGATTTGTTATCTGACACAGAACTCTTACCAGTAAAAAAGGGACACTGAGAACCCAGGGGAGCGGTCACAAACTGGGGCTGGCCATCGCAGTTTGGGGCTAGCGGGGCTTTCCTAAGACTTTGTGAGTGTATGTGCCTGTCCCACCTCCAGACGTTAAGCTCCTTGGGAACAGGGCCACTGTGGCAAGTCTACATCCCCAGCACCAAGTCCAGGGCCCAGCACAGAGTTGGTTGGTGTGAAGGTGGGACTGGGGCAGCTGGATTCTGCTGTGACTAAAGCTGGGCTACTCATCTAATGTCAGCAGTGAGGAGTGGGCTGAGGTTTCTGCCTTCAGGGTCACCTGGTCTGATTCCCATCAGTTGTACTCTGTTTTGGTTGTTCAACCTTATCCTTTATCAATAACCCATCCATCCAGCTGTCCACCTGTCCCCCTGTCCATCCCTTGGACATGTGCTCCTCCAGCCCCTTCTCCTAGGCCTGGAAGAAGTGTGATTGCCCAGCTGCTGGCTGGGCGTCCTCAGGAGCTCACCTTCTAGTGAGACCTGGGTACTGAGCAGTCAAACACATGACTATGAAGAGACACGAGTCACCATGTCAGACCTCCTGTCAGGTGGACAAATGGTCTAGGTATGGAGATGACCTTGGGTGTTCAGACAGGCAGGTACGCACAAGAGTTGCTGGGAACAGGTGCCTGCTGCCAGGAGCACCAGGATCGCAGAGCAGGACAGACCTCTAGTGGCTGGCAGATGGCACCCAGGACAGGAAGGACAGCAGGCAGGCGGTGGGAGTCGAGGTCAGGGTCAGAGCATGGGTGAATGAATCTGCAGCTCTGCCAGGAGGGAGAGGTGATGATTTTGGTGTTGAAGGTTAGGGCAGGCTGCCCCTGCTGAAGCCTGGCTCGGCATTCCTGGCAAGGACAGCTTTTCTGCCTCCTCCGCAGACCTGGCTGTGAGCAATCAGGTGACTTGCAGGAGGTCACCCGTCAGAAAGATGCCAGCAGGCAGCAGCCCAGACACCTTGGGTGGGAGCCAGATCTGTCCTGTGTCTGCCTGGACTCAGGCCAGCTCCATACCAGCCCCAAGCCTCCATCTGGTTGTAAATTTTTCCAGGATGAGAGACATGGCTGCTTGTCTCTGGGTTTGGGCTGGCATCTCTACCCCCCAGCAGTGGGCTTGTGGGGGAAGAGGCCTCTGGGCTCTGCCTGTCTAGACTGGGCCATTTATCAAATGCCCTAGAAGCTGTCAGCTACTAGGCTTCACACCTGTCCTTCTGGCAGGCAGATAGATGGCTGTAAGGGGCCCCACAGCTATTTTCTGAGGCTGTGAGGATGGGGCTGACCCAGGGCATCCCACCTCTGAAACTGCCCCTACCCTTATCTCATTTCCAGGCTTCCCAGGAGGGAGCCACACTTCACCTTGGGGTCTAGCGTGAAGTATGTGGTAAGAATAGGCAATCCATTCCCCCACCCTCTTGGGCTTGGGGTCTACCATACACCTTCCTGAGCTTTCCAGAAGGGCTTTAGATGGACAGAGCTTCCTGTCTCCCAGTCTCCCTTTGAGAGTCACCCCAATTCTAGGACAGCCTGGGGAAGGGCTAGGAGAACAGGGTGGCCAGAGCCACATTCATCCTAGGGAGGAACCAGAGCCTGTAAAGGTGGTTTCTCTGGGTTGGAGGCTACTGGTAAGGTTTTCTTTCCCCCTCTTTTTATTTTTTACTCCAAAGTACATTACTTTTCAAATGGAAAAAACACACCACCATCTAACAACCTGGAGGTAGTACACAGTCCTGGACTGTGACCTTTCTCACACAGTGTGGACAGAGGTTTTCATTTTGTTTTTTTATAAAAGAAACTTTTTAAGGGTCTCTGTTACAGAACATACGAGGGGCGCGTTCTTCACGAGAAACACCTCCATCTGGGTGAAGATGTCGGAGACTTATCTTCTCAGCATTTTCTGTGGGACTTGAAGGGTTTAACAATGACCACGGAGGTATTTTAGGGTTAGTTATTTTTAATCGTCAGGCAACACAAAATGACTTGCACTTTGGAAGCTTGGCTTTCCTTTTCCCTCTCTCCCTTCTCCCCTCTCCCCTCCTCTCAAGCTGGCTGGGTTGGTTTGGGGTGGGGACACTACAAATGGCTACAGGCAAGCATGGTCCGGAGGGGTGGAGGGAGGGGACGGGCGCACACTGTGGGCTGTGAGGTTAGCCCTGGGTGGGTCTCCTGAGGGTGGCCAGAAGGAACTAGCCTAGTGAGCGGAGCTGGGTCTGTTTGGTAACAAGGCAGTGCCACCTGGTGGCCACTGCTACTTACACCAGGTGGGAGCATTGGGCGAGGAGAGCAGTGACTCTGAACCCTGAGGTTTTGGGGGATGCTGGGGTGAGAAAGGGAGAAACAGCAGTTCAATAGAGACCCTTTAGTGGAAGAGTTGACCCCATGTGCTCTGTGGCAGGATGCAAAGGCCACAAGTCCCCTTCCCCACAAGGGCAATTGGCACCTACCCGAGAGCCAAAAGGGACAGGAGCTCCAATCTGGCTCTACCCCTATGCTGCAGTTTTCCCTGTTGGACACAGTGCAGCTGGGTGGGGAAGGGGCAAGAGTGGGCACGGGTCCCGCCTGCAGGACTCACATTCTTACCGTGTCCCAGGTCCTCCTTTCTCTGCCTGCCTCATCCCCCTGGCCTCAGGTTTGGCATGGGGAAGCTCGGAACCCTGTGTCCCTCCTCTACATCCCACCCTGAAGTCCCCAAAGCAAGTGCCAGGCAGTGGAGTGAGGCTACTCGGAATCCTGGAAGCATCTGTGTGAGGGTGAGGTCTCCTGGCAGACCTGTGGGTGGGGTGGGGCTAGACGCGGCTCATTGGCAGGGACAGCCCTCCAAGGCTCACTTGGGCCTCCTCCCCAAGGGCCTTTTGCAGGACCACCCTCAGGGGCTCCCGTTTCCCGGGTTGTATGCCCACCAGGAAGTACAAGAGAGGCTTGGTGCTGCTGTCAATGCAGGCCAGGAGGGTGGCCAGTGGGAGTAAGAAGGGGATCAGGAACTTCAGGATGGGCCTCAGACTCCAGTAGATGACCATGGGCAGGCGGCAGAGGAAGAGCAGGATCCCCGAGCACCGGACGATTCTGTAGAGCTTGGGGTGCTGACGCTGGGAGCAGCAGGTCACCCAGATGAAGAGAACCAAGGTGGTCCCAATGGCCACGCACACCACTGCCAGCAGCCAGGTGATGCTGACCCCATGGTAGCGGAGGCAGGCCAGCAGGCGTGTGCTATTATGCAGCATCCCACAGGCATTGGCAGGCAGCAACACAGCCGGCAGGGTCAGTCCCCACACCAGGGCTGAGAGCACAGCTGAGGTGAGCCGGGGGCGGTATTTCTGGTAACAGGAGGGGAAGATGCTGGAGAGGCAGCACTCGAGGCAGAGGCAGGCCAGCAGCCAGAGCCCCACTGAGAACCAGATGAAGGTGATCACGAAGTAGAGTGTGTCGTTGGAGGAGCCCAGCACGGCCTGGGCAGCAGAGAAGCCCACCTGGCAGGAGAGGAACAGGAAGTCTGCGGCAGCCAGGTTTAGCACATAGGTGTTGAGGGGGCCCTTCTTGATGTGGAAGCCCAGGTTCCAGAGCACCAATCCGTTGCCCACCATCCCCAGCACGCTGATGACAAGCGTGATGTAGAAGATGACACTGTTGAAGGTTCCCCAGAGGCTGAAAATGTTGAGCATCCTGACTGGCTCAGCTCCAGGAGGACCCTGTGAAGATGTGACAGGTGCTGATAACCAGTGTTATTGTACACTACATGGGCAAGGGCGAGCAGGGGTCACGACCATGCCAGGGCCCCCTTTCCAGCCATGTGTGACCTTGGCCACCACTCAACTCTCTGGGCCTCATGGTAGATGTGCTTAGCACCTCATCGTGACTGCAAGGGGTGGTCCCTGCCCTCCTCTGGCTGGGCAGTCTAACATGCACAAGATCCGTGCCTTTTCTGTGAGGCGCCACCAGGCAAAGCTCTGCCTCATATTGGATAGCTCTCTGCAGGAAATGAGACATGGAGGAAACTCTTTTCCTCTTCCATCAAGGACCCTGGCATGGGGCTCCCATCTGAGGTCTGGACCAGGTTCCTGCTGAGTTCCCCCACCCCAGACGTTATCTGATGGTGCCTAGGATGTGCCCCCAACACTCAGGGCCCTTAGGGGAGGAGGAGGGAAGATGTCATGAAGGGTGCTGGGAAGGTGGAGGGAGACTCAAGGCTCCCCTGCATCCACCAGTCCTGAGCAGGACACTAGTCCCCAGGATCCACAGAAGAAGGGAAGCCTAAATCAGTGCAGGGACTTGAATGAGTCTTCTCAGAGCCCTGGGGTCTTCTCCAGGTGCTGATAGCAGTAGAAATGGGCACAGATTGTTGCGGGTGAGGGTTGTGAGGAGAGCCTGCCCTGATGCTCTCAGTGGGTAGGATCTCAGAGCTATGCCTCCCTTCCTTGTCCACATGGAGCCCTCACTGCCCTCCACTACCCCTGGGGAGATTTGCTGAGGGCCTTAGGACCCAGGTCTTGGGGTGAGGAGGTGCCAGGGCAGGAGAGCAATAGGAGAGAGATGGAAAAGCAACTCAGAGGGAGAGACAGAAACAGAGAGAAATGGATAGAGACAGGGGAGTGGGGGGAGAAACAGAGGGAGAGATGGAGAGAGAGAAATAGAGACAGAAGGATACAGAGATAGACATGGACAGAGCAACTGAGAGAGACAAAGAAAGAACGAGAAAGACAGAGATTTAGACTCACAGTGCTGGGGATGAAGAGAGAGAGGGAGAGAAAGAGAATGAGCGACAAAGAGAAGGAGAGAAAGAACGAGAGAGAAGTAGAGAGATGAAAGAGAAAGGGGGAGAAATAGAAACAGAATCAGAGGGAGAAATAGAGACTTGATCATAGAATCAGAGAGACAAAGAAAGAGTGAGAGAGACAGAGAGAGGGAGTGAAAGAATGAGAGAGAAGTAGACAGACAGACAGAGAGAGAGAGAGAGAGAGAGAGAACTTTGCATTCTCATCCTCATACTTTTGTTGGGTTGTAGCCCACACCTGACCACCCTCCCCACCTCTCCACTCACCCAGGCTTGCTGTCCTCCCACAGGCCTGGAGCCTTCTGCAGCTTCCTCATCCAACATGAGCTCTCTCCCTCCCCCTGAGCACGCTTGCCTGGTACCCTCATGGGGACAACGGCTCTACCTCTGGGCGCAGCCAGCAGGGTGGGAGTGAAGGCCTCCAGGACCTGAGAGTTGGAGACCCTGGCTGGACTCTGGTGCTAGGGTGGGGATAGCGAGCCTGGTCCTTCCTTTCCCTGTCTGAGCTTTAGTTTTCCCAAGGTATACAAGGGAGCTACCCAGACTCAGCATGGACTTTGACTAGTGTGGGGCAGGTCCGTGTGAGTGGGTCAGAGTGGGGTAGAAGACCCATGATGGGGCATCACCTTTGGTTTCCAAATGGAGATACCAGCTGGTATTGCCAACAGACCCAGTTTCCCCAAAGCCCCTGGTCTCTGCAGCCCAGGACCCCAACTCAGCCTGCCTTTCCCACAAGGTCTGTCTTGGAGGAAGCCCTTGGAGCTGCCAATGCTCCCCAGATAGCCTGGCTGCAGAGGATGGGGAAGTAGGTAGAGGGGAGAGGGGAGGGACATGAACAAACCTTCTCACCTGCTGGCTGTTGTGATCCTCAGCTGTCAGCCTATGCTCACTGCCTGGGGGCTCCTCCAGTGCCCTTAATTCCCTGTGTCCTCTGGGGCCTGGCTGGCTGGACCCGGTGTCCTGGCCAGTTCCCTAGAAGTGGGAGGGTGTGGTGCCATTCACAGGAATCAGAGGAATGAGCTCAAATGGAGCCGTCAGTGTGGGCGGCCCTTCCCTTCCTCCTTGGCCCATCTGGGAGGGGAAACTCAAGAGTCCAGCACATGAAACTCGTTCATGGATAATCCAGTCCTAGTGAATGGGGACTGGCCCGGAGATGCCATGAAACCAAAGTTGGATGGCAGACAGATCCAGGACCGCATAGCATGCAGTTTAGTGTGAGTGTGTGTGGGGCGGGGTGGGGGTGACTTACTGATAGAAGCATTGTCTTGGGAGTCTGCAATGGATCCTGCAATTTGGGCCAGAAAGAGGGGTGTATTTATGGGTTGGAACAAAAGTGACTTCATCCTAGCTGGAATGTATCTGGTTGATTTTCAGATAACATCAGAGTCAGACCCATCCCTGCAGCAGGGTCCGGTTGTAAAGCTGCTCACAACACTCTAATAGTTTTGTGGGTATATTTGCTGGGAAAACAAGCAGCAAAACTCACTATGGATACTTGGTGTGATCATGGTGTTTACTGCTCAAATAGCTGTGGTCATGTCCAGCTGGGTCCATACGCCCCACCCCATATCCTGAGCTCTCAAGGGTTTTAGCGCCTTATAGGTGGTGTGCTGTGAGGCCATTTGTCTGCCTTCTAATCAAAAGAGGCACGTGCATGAAAGGAGACAGAAAGCAGTTGTGCAAATGAGAGAAATGCAAGCTTTCCCACCAGGAGCCCCAGGAGCCAAACCAAGACTTAGCATCTCTCCTGTGGAGGGGTAGAACTCGCCAGGTCATTCATTCAGGTCTTCACATGTGACATAAGAGTGGACATATTGTCAGTGACCTCTGGATGTAACAGCATGGGTTCCTCCTGGGATGCAGCTATAATATCAAAAGCCACGTGGTAACACCGCCTTTCCTACTTGGGCCACCTCATCAGTATGCACATGTATCACCTATTAGCTGTCACCTAGAGGACACTGTAAATGTGGTCACAACTTCGACATGTGACTCAGCACCTTAAACCCTGTTGGTGGGATGAATGTGGAGGCTGGGTGACCATAGAGTTAAAGACAGAGAGGACGCATCTTAATTCAAGCTGGGTTGGATGGTGGAGTGGAGGAGAACACCCTTGCACCCATGTAAACCAACTACGTGGGTTTAACAGGACCATCTATTTGTTCTACATAACCACAAAGTTTCTCGTTATTAGAGTAATGATTATCTCCTCGGCCCTTGGGTGTCTGCATAACTTCACGCAACCTGTTGCATGGCGTCCTAGGTGAATGGAGGGCTGTGGCTGGGATTATTCACAAAACTCTTCACCACTGGGGCATAGTAACATTGGTCCCTAGTGCTCAGGCTCTGCTTCTGCTGAATCTCTAAGATGTTTACCTGGAGCCTTCCAATCCTGTCCTTGGAGAGGAGATACCAAGGTGGTCCTGACAACTGGAAAGAAGGAGCTGTCCAGAACCCAGGTGCTGATGCACTGCGCCTGTGCTTAGAGATGCACCATTGCAGGAAAATGCTATTTTTCTAAGCAGCCTTCAGCGAAGGAGACCATAGAATCCATAGAGGTCCAAAACCAAAGGTGGCAAGACAAATGTTTGCTGGGGACTTGTCACCACCCAGTAAGATAGCCTTGGTGTCAGCATCGTTGTTGGGTGGCAGGGACGGCCACAGATGGGCTGTGGGGGAGAGCACCACACTTGCTGTGCCCTGAGGTCTTTCTTGTGGCTCACTTGGGGCATAAACTGTGACCACAGGCCAAGAGTCTAATAGGAATGGGCCAAGTTAGGAAGGCTGGGAACTCCTTCTAATGCTAGAAGAGCTGACCCACCATAGGGAATAAGCCACTGAGCCCCCATTGAACTGTCCCCTCCCTTGGCTTTAATGCCTGCTGCTCTTTGTCTCCACTCCAAGTCTTAAAGCACGCGGATGGAGGCACAGTGTGAGCACAGGTGGTCTTGGGGCCGTGCTGCAGTCCCTAGTGCTCTCAAGGAGCAAGCGTGCTGGTCACCTGGGTGTTTAGATTCATTAACGCTCTTCCAAGGACTTCAGCACAGACGGCCAAGGAGGGCCTGACTCATAGAGTCACATCTGTGGCTTTAGTACACCATTCTTCTCCCCACCAACCCTGTGGCTTGAGGGCATTATGGCAGATGAAAGTGACACGATGCATCTGTGCTTGGGTCCAGTCCTGGGCAGCAGGCCTGTGAGATGGGTGCTTCTGCCTTTTTCACCAGCCAGCCAGGGCCAGTATGCTAGGCTGATCATAAAGTCCCAACTTGTTCTAATTTTCTCATGGTCTCTCCAGTTTCAGTATGTCCACCCAGAAGCTTATATTGACTGGTGTGTATTGCCTGCTGAGGGGCAGGAAGGCTCCAGGGTCTCCCTTTACTTCCCTCTCATTATTGTCTTCACCACTTGAATGTCTATGGATATTTTCCTATGGGGAACAGTAACATTTCGCCTAACAGAATAAACATCCCCAGAACGTTCTCAGGGACCAGGGAGATTAGCTACAAACATGGCAGGAGGTCGCCCTCCTAATTCCCAGATGCAAGGGCACTCACTTGTTTCACTTGAATGGTCTTACCCCATGGCCATCAGGGGATGCCAGGGCACTTCTGGGCTGCTGTGGATCTGTGCATTCGGCACCCATAGCTACCGGGATGGCTTTTCCTTATTCTTGGAAGACTAGGAAATTGTGAACTCTATGTGAGGCCAATGCTGGGCCCCAGGGCCAATGCTCTGGGGTAACATTGGTCCCACCCCTAATGACACTGAAGAATGAGCAATATGGATCTTGGAAGTCTCTGACCTTCTCTTTGGGGGGGCAGAGGACAAAACTGTGTATCTCATCTCTGTATGCCACCCAAGGCAAATCACACCACACCTGCTTTCTAG